CCAGTTGCTCTCGTCCGTCCTCCCGTACACTGTCTCTTTTATTGAGGTTACATGAATATGCATAGGTTCATTAACATATGACGTCTTACATAATACATGGAACAAAGAATACGTTGTTGTTGTGTGTGTGTGTGTGTGTGTGTGTGTGTGTGTGTGTGTGTGTGTGTGTGTGTGGACTGCTGATCAAAGGGTCAAACATCCTTGGTCAGGAAGAGGGTAGCCTCCCCCTCACCCTAGATGGTTCATCCTAGATAACACGGTGAGGAAGTCCTGCAGTTCATCTAAACAAAGAGCACTTAGACTAGAACAGACGCAACTACGTTAATCCTACCATAAAACAATAAGACACGGTATGACCTCTCATGCTCCCAAAGTGCTGTCTAATACACACAAAGTTTGCAGACTATCAAGGATCAAAACCTCTACCAATCTACAACTAATTACAAAACTCTAAGCATATATAAGTAAATATTTCTAAGCATAAATGACAATCAACAATACAAACTCTAACATTCCCCCGTTTTTGACCTTTATGCTAGAAAAGTTCCCAGGTATGAATACCTCATGTCTGACAGTTTCAATGCAAACATTTTTATACTCAGCATAGTCAAATCACCCTAAATTACTGAAAAGGTACACAGTTTAACAAATGTATTAGCAGTTATCCCATTCCTCATTGATCTCATCTCATGGCAAACTGCATCCTACGAGCAAACAAAGAAATTGTTAATTTAATAGTGAAAATAAGAAGATAACATTTTCAAAAACATCTCAGCTTGGTGGTGCTTCCTCCGGGTGTGCACATCACATGTCTCTGCAGAGTGGTTTGAGTTCTGCAGGGCGTCATAATGTCTCTTCCAGTTGTTTCATTGTCCATAGGACCAGAGTCCAAATGTATGTAGAATAAACATTCAAACATACCAGTTGGTTTGTTGTTCGTCAACATGGGTCTCAGCTATTTCCAAGCTGCAGACCTCTCAGCACTCTAGTTTTATGGCCTCTTACCAGCCCCCATCACCTGACTTCAGACCTTCGTCTTGTGAGGGGGATATCTCTTTGGTCAAGCGAAGGAACGGTGCCTGTCCGGTTCTCTCCCGTGCACGAGAAACATGAAGAAGCTTGCCTACTTGTGTCTTGCTTTGCAGTGTAATTATATTGCCTTTCACGTTCCAGCGGATGGGTTCAAGCTACAAACCTATCATAAACCAGCCTTCATTTAATACAGTATGAACAGAGTAAGACAAAACATTTGAATATCAGGATGTGTTACTAAATCCATATTATTTACAATCTAGTGCTCCTAATCACTACACCCTCATTAATACAGCAGTCTCTACCTGAAGAAAAAAAAACTACAATAGTAGACACAACAGAGCCTGAGTGTCAAATTACATAATACTGGCACACAGCAGCATGTGTGAACATGTTTACCTATTGCTGAGATTGCAGCCTGGGCAGTGTCAGTGTTGACATCAGTGCAGTATCCTTTCAGCTCATCCAGTATCATTGCTACGTTCTCGTCATTCACCAGCTCTACCAGCACCTGCAACACACAGCAGCTGAAGCTATAGTACTGTCAAAGGATCGCCTCCAGCTGCTAACACTGGGTACTAACTGTGGACTTGTGAAAAAAAGTAGTAATGCAAAAAGCTAAAAATCCAACTCTTGGGGCTTGCTTCAAGATTAAGCTAATCCTTTTGGATATTAACATGTCCAAAGTTAGGAGTACGGCATGGACTGTCTGTTAGGTTTTACCTCCATTAATGGGGTCACTATGAAGCTTCAAAATGCAGTCCCAAAAACCAAAGGCTAACATCAAAGTGGCTATGGCCATCTTTTATTTACTCTCTATGCCAAAGTATATACATGTTTGGCGGAGGTGTGGTCCCGGGCGCATCTGCAGGGGAGGAGTGGTGCAGTGGGCTCAACGGGGCGGTGCTGGAGATGCCGGTGAGAACAGCTGATGGCGATTTGGACTGATAATGGTTTCCTTCCCTTTTTATAGAGAGACGGAGAGGAACGGAAAGAGAGGGAAATCAGCTGGGACCGACAGCTGTCAGACTGTGTTCAGTCATAACCTGAGAAAATTGTAAATAAATGTGGAACCTGGTGATAAAGACCTCTGTGTGTGTGTACCTGTGTATAGTGCATTTCACAAGTGGTGCCGAAACCCTGTGTCCAGCCGGCGTGGGGATGTCCGACCCACAGGCTGCGCCGCCCGCCCAGCCTTTGCAGTTTCTGGCGCAGATTCTGGCGGAGATGGTGAAGATGAGTCAGGACCAGGCGGCGGTCCAGCGGGCTCACCTGGCTGCGCTGCAGGAGCAGACGGACCGGCAGACGTCTGGTTCTGGAGCGGCTGGTTGGACGCCGCTGCTCCGCCGAAGCCTCCACCGCTGTCGGTGGCGAGTGCCCCGGATGGGGGACGGGGACGACCCCCAGGTTTTCCTGGAGACTTTTCGTGCCACGGCGGAGGCCTGCCAGTGGCCGCAGGTGGAGTGGGCTCCGCGTTTGCTTCCTCTGCTGTCGGGGGAGGCTCAGACGGCGGCCCTGAGTCTGCCGCCGACCTCGAGGAGCAGCTTCCAGGACGTGAGCCGGGCGGTGGTGGACAGGATGGGGCTCACCGCTGAGGATCATCGCCGGCGGTTCCGGGCCTGTCGGCTAGCCGCGGCGGATTGGCCGTTTGCTTGGGCCCGGAAGCTGCACGACGCGGCGGTGCGCTGGCTGCAGCCGGGATCGTCAGAGGGCGAGACGCTGCTGGTGGACAAGGTGGTGCTGGAGCCACGGGCTGCACGCAGACCCTCGTGCACCAAGGCTTGGTTCGGCCCAGGGCATTGCTGGAGGCAGAATGGGTGGAGGTGAAGTGTGTTCATGGTGATGTTCACAGGTATCCCATAGTGCCGCTGTTATTAAAGTATAAGGGTCATTATAAAGATAGGTTATATCGAGTGAGTCGTGACACTCGCACGGAGGAGACACACACCCAGTTGTTGGTGCCGCAGGGCCGCCGGGAAACGATTTTCCAGGCGGCTCATTATAACCCCATGGCAGGGCATATGGGATACGAAAAAACTCTGGAGCGAATAACGGCCCGATTTTATTGGCCGGGCATCCGAGCGGATGTGCGCCGCTGGTGCGCGTCCTGCCCGGACTGCCAACTTGTTAATCAGCCGGCCATACCAAAAGCGCCTTTGCGCCCGCTCCCACTCATAGAGGTCCCGTTTGAGCGCATTGGCATGGACCTCATCGGGCCGTTTCATCGGAGTGCACGCGGCTACCGCTTTGTATTAGTCCTGGTGGATTAGCAAGGTACCCGGAGCTCCGCTGCACCATCTCTGCAAAGAGTGTGGCGCAGGCACTGTTTCAGGTCATCTCCCGAGTCGGAATCCCGAAAGAGATACTGACTGACCAGGGCACATCGTTTATGTCTCGTACACTGCGGGAACTGTACGAATTACTGGGCATTAAATCTATTCGGACCAGCGTCTACCACCCTCAGACGGATGGGCTGGTGGAGCGGCTGAATAAGACTTTAAAGTCCATGATTCGTAAGTTCATTAACGAGGATGAACGCAATTGGGATCGCTGGCTAGACCCTCTGTTATTTGCAGTGCGGGAGGTGCCCCAGGCCTCCACGGGATTTTCTCCCTTTGAATCTGCTGTTCGGCAGGAGCCCGTGGGGTGCTCGACCTGATTAAAGAAAGCTGGGAGGACGGTCCGAGCCCCGCTCAAAGAATGAGATTCAGTACGTGTTGGACCTGAGAGCAAACTCCACACTTTGGGGAGGTTGTCACGGGAGAATTTGCTCCAGGCTCAGCAGCGTCAGCAACGCCTGTATGACAGAGGGGCTAGGCTCAGGCAATTTTCACCGGGAGACAAAGTGCTTGTATTACTCCCTTCTTCCAGCTCGAAGTTGCTCGCCAAGTGGCAAGGACCCTTTGTGGTCACACGGCGAGTCGGGGACGTTGACTATGAGGTCGCTCGGTCGGACAGGGGAGGGGCCACGCAGATTTATCACCTCAATCTCCTTAAAGAGTGGAGAGAGGTTGAAACCGCTTCTCTGGTAAGCCTGGTTAAGGAGAGAGATGAGTTGGGGCCGGAGGTGCCAAATTCCATCATCCCCGCCTCCCTCCCTTGTGATGACCATCTCACACAGGCCCAGAGAGCGGACGTTGTCGCGTTACAACGCGTGTTTTGCTAGATGTGTTCTCCCCCCTGCCCGGCCGAACGTCTCTCATTGAGCATCATTTTGTAACGCAGCCTGGCGTGACGGTGCGTTCACGGCCCTACAGGCTTCCTGAGCATGAACGGCAAATCGTTCAGAGGGAATTGGCTGAAATGCTGAAAATGGGAGTGATAGAAGAGTCGCACAGCGCCTGGTGTAGCCCCATCGTTCTTGTGGTAAAGAAGGATGGGTCTATACTGGTTCTGTGTCGACTATCGCAAGGTGAATGAAGTGTAGTCTTCCCATGCCCCGGGTCGACGAGCTCCTGGATCGGCTGGGCACGGCCCGTTTTTTCACGACACTGGATTTAACCAAGGGCTACTGGCAGATTCCCTTGTCTGCCGAGTCCAGGGAGAAAACGGCCTTCTCCACTCCGTACGGGTTGTACCAATTCGTTACGCTTCCGTTCGGCTTGTTCGGAGCCCCTGCCACCTTTCAGCGCCTCATGGACCGGGTGCTGCGTCCGCACGCTGCATATGCTGCTGCCTACCTGGATGACGTGATCATCCACAGCGACACCTGGGCGGAGCATGTGCAGCGGGTGGCCGCGGTCCTGGAGTCCCTGAGGAGGGCGGGGCTCACGGCCAACCCGAAGAAGTGTGCGGTTGGACGGAGGGAGGTACAGTATCTGGGGTACCACTTGGGGGGCGGGCAGGTGCGTCCACAGGTGGAGAAGACGGCGGCTATCGCATCCTGCCCGCGCCCCAAGACTAAAAAGGAGGTGAGACGGTTTCTGGGGCTGGCAGGTTACTATCGCCGTTTCGTGCCAGGGTTTGCGCAGCTGACCAGCCCCTTGACCGATCTCACCCGAAAGGGTGCTCCGGATCTGGTTCAGTGGACGGGGCCGTGCCAAGCGGCATTTGTGCAGGTGAAAAAGTCTCTCTGTGGGGAACCGCTGCTTCACACCCCTAACTTTTCCCCGTTCTTTACATCAGCCGGAAGCTGGCAGAGCGTGAAAGACGGTACAGCACTGTGGAGAAGGAGTGCTTGGCTATCCGGTGGGCAGGTCGACTCCTTCGCATACTCTGGGGCGCTCATTCACCCTCTGCTCGGACCACGCCCCGCTGCAGTGGCTCCACCGCATGAAGGATGCCAACGCCCGGATCACCCGGTGGTATCTGGCTTTACAGCCCTTTAAGTTCAAGGTGGTCCATAGGCCGGGGGCGCAGATGGCGGTGGCCGTCTCGTGGGTGGGGGGTGAGTAGGTTCGGCCGGACGGCTCCCCGGCCTCAGTCGGGCGGTGGGGGTGTGTGGCGGAGGTGTGGTCCCGGGCGCGGCTGCAGGGGAGGAGTGGTGCAGTGGGCTCAACGGGGCGGTGCTGGAGATGCCGGTGAGAACAGCTGATGGCGATTTGGACTGATAATGGTTTCCTTCCCTTTTTATAGTGAGACGGAGAGGAGCGGAGAGAGGGAAATCAGCTGGGACCGACAGCTGTCAGACTGTGTTCAGTCATAACCTGGGAAAATTGTAAATAAATGTGGAACCTGGTGATAAAGACCTGTGTGTGTGTGTGTGTGTGTGTGTGTGTGTGTGTGTGTGTGTGTGTGTGGTTGTGTGTGTGTGTGTGTGTGTGTGTTGTGCCTGTGTATAGTGAATTTCACAACATGAAAGCAGTGTCATGGAGCATCCTGACCAAAAGGAGGAAATACAAACTTATCAAAGCACCTGAAAGATGTTTCCACATCTGTACAAAGAATTCATGCTAAGGGGGTTTCAGGTGTTTGTTAAACTTGGCAGCTGTGAACCAGTTGGGATCAAACTCCACCCCTCCAGCTATCTGTTATAAAAGGATTAATTACTTTGTCGGGGTGTGGAGTTAGCTCACAGTTTGGGTAAAATGGAGATGGACAGATTGGCATTGTACAGTCAACAAGGTGAGCATTGTATAACGCTACTGAGGAGGCAAATGACCCAGAAGGTAAACCTCTCAACCACGTCTACATTGAGAATCTCACCTATGAATATGAGCACTAATTAGTGATAAAAATGTTGAGTTTGAATAGCAACTCAAATACAGTTGTTCCTCATTAGGTTTGTAGCTACCTGAGGAACCGAGATAAGCAGAAAACTAGAGGGAGCTTGTAGATGGGGGTGCTCTGAAAAGAGTCCGTTGAGGCTGTTTGAGCATGCTGGGTGCCTTCAATTGGAGTTTTTTCAGGCACACAACTGGGATAAGATGCAGAACATGTAGAGACTCAGCATCTCACTTGTCAGGATCTCCCAGGAAGAGATGGTAAGTGGCTCTTATATAGCCATTTATGTAACTTGCCTCATTCACACAAACACTGTTTGCTATCAAAAGTGCATTTTACCGATGGATGCATCAAAGAGAAACTTGGGGTTAGGATCTCACCCAGGGACGTTTGGGTAAGAGCTGGAGCTGCCAGGGATCAAACCTCCCATCTTCTGATTAATAGATGCCCCACTTTACCTCCTGAGTTACAGCCACCCAGGATGGAAAATGATCCTGTGTAAAGGAAATTCTAACTACCCTGTTTAGCCAGCTGCAATCTGACTCTGTGCACAACAAATGGATGAATGAATGGATAATGGAAATAGTGGAGTGGAGTGAACATCTGCCATCATGCTACAAGATGAGTTGACCACTAAGTGAAACTGAGAGAATCTATTCAGGCAGGACTTACTGAGGCAACCTCAGGGTTAACTTTCAGTGTTCTGCAGCATCTGTAATGTCTGGAGTCTGCATTTATTTAATCTCAAGTTTTTCTAAGACATAAAGTTTCCTTTTCCTTTGTAAAAAGCAAGAAGTTGGTCTACCAACACAAAAGTATGTTCTATGTTTACTGGTTAGTTTTACAAAATAAGTATTAGGACTTTGGATTATTACAGCTAAAGTTTTCTTGTTTCAAAAAGCATATCATCATATAAACACAAAAACTGAAGATGAAAAATTCAAAGGATAAGCAAAACTGGCATCACCTGCATCTTCCTTTCTTTGATGTAGGCAGGCTCAGCATAGCCACAGAAGAAACGCTTGTAGTGCGGCCCCAGCAGGCCAGGGACAGAGCGCAGCAACAACTGCAAGCAGACAGACATATCTTTTTTTCTCAGCATGACATGTACACATAAATCCATCTGAACGTAAAAGTAATGAAAAAAATGAATCAGATGCGGTGAATCTGAACTGTTGCTGCTCCCTCTGGGGATTAAAAAAAGACACACGTCCACATGCCAATGATTCAGTAAGTGATTAGGCTTTTCCACAAAGACAGATTTATCCAGTCAGATGTCATATTAATTTGTACAATTTCTTACACTTTAACTTAATACCGAAAATTTAGTATTTTGGTCTAGACAACCCAAAATGTGATGTCCACATATGTGGACACCAGGTCCTAGGAGGTTTTAATTTCCTCAAAAGTAGCCACTACTTACCTAATAATTTTTTAATAATTTTCCAAGCAGCTTGTGACTGCCCTCTGGAATAAGGAATAATATCTTACATTATTGAATTTAATTCTGTTATATTTATACATTGCCAATTTACAACATATTTGTACCAATCTGAATAGGGTCATTCTGGTCTCTGGTCTGATGACAAGTTTCTTTGTGATAAGGTGAACTGATTTGAATGTGTGGTTCCCACTATGGAGCTAGCAGGGTTTCTAGTGACAATGTTGAGGGAAACACTTTAACCAGCAGGGCACTGTTTGTTTTCCAGCATCACCAAAAGCCAGTGTTGGGGAGTAACGAATGCATGTACCGCTATTGCGTATTTAAAATACAAAATATGAGTAACTGTATTCCATTACAGTTACCATTTTAAAAGGTGGTATTCAGAATACAGTTACTTTGTTGAAAATAATGGATTGCACGGCGGTATTTTCCTGTTTCATAAGGCTATGAACTCTATATTTTTGGTGTCCAAGCCGGTGGAAACACAAACAAAACACGCATTAAGAGGCTCTCATGTCTGTGTCTCAATCTCGCAGCCCATGTCACCTCTATTTGCGGCCCGCATAATGGCGTGAAGAAATATTTTAAAAAAATATTCACAAAAATGATTTAATAAGAAGGCAAGAGGCAGAGTGTTACAGGCATAGCCCTAAAGAATGTAGCCTCATGGGCAGTGTAGTCTGTGTTGCAGGGAGAATTGACTGTCATACCTGATATGTGTCTGTGAGTGCCAGGGATTGAGAAAAAGGAGAGTTGAAAAGTAAGAGATGTCACTGACCAGAAATGGGAGATGGAAGCATGGATACATATATACATACATATATATACGTGTATACACACACATACACACACATACACACACATATAACACATATATATATACACACATACACACATATATATATATACACACATACACATAAAATATATAATACACATATATATACACATATATATACACATACACACACATAACATATTATATATATATATATATATATATATATATATATACACACAGATATACACCATATATATATACATATATATACACATATATATATATATATACACATATATATATGTATATATATATATATATATATATATATACATATATATATGTATATGTGTATATATATATATATATATATATATATATATACATAATACATACATACATACATTACATACATACATACATACATATACATATATATATATCATAATATATATACCCCACAACACACACATCATATATCATATATATAACACATACACATAATATTATAACTTAATTTATATATTATTCATACACTATTACTTAACCTATATAACATTTATACACATTATATCATATATTTATATATTGATAGTATATATTATATATATATATATATATTAATCATATATACTTAATAATATTATATTATATATCCCCACATTATTATATAATATTATTCATATATATATATATATAGTATATATATCATATATATATAATTTATATATTATTATATATTATTATTATATATACAATCAACACATACACATACACACACACACACACACACACACACACACACACTATGTCAGGAGTAGTAATAATAATCATAATAAAGATAATAATTTAAAAAGTAACATTTTTTGTCTTTGTTCCATTCTCTTGATAGACATTAATAGAGGAATTTTCACACCACGTGTACAGGTTTACACATTCACCTAGAACGTTTCACCTCTCATCCGAGAAGCTTCTTCAGTTTGACCTTAGAACTGAAGAAGCTTCTCGGATGAGAGGTGAAACGTCTTCAAGCAACTTAAAGAAGTCCAGACGCTTTTCTTTGCAAGCTCCTTTGAGTCCACTCACATGTTTAAATTAGTTGCACTGACCTGTATGTGGCAGACGGCAGCAAACCTCATCTCTCTGGAACCACTCCCACAGGCTGCAAGCAGGGGTCCACTGACTCGTTCCAGGGCCGCCAGACTGATGGCGGGCAGGTTGGATGAGACGCTCAGGAAGAGGCTAAGGGTGGCAGCCATAACAGGGGGGTGGGGGCTTACAAGGAACGAGTCCAGCAGGGACAGGATGTCAAAGAGCTCGTCCTCTGACTGGGGCCTGTAGCGCTGAAGAACTCTCAGCACCTCAGACTGACCCCAAATGTCACACTCCTTAAGCCTAGGAGGAAAGACAGACTTTTTTTTTTCTAACAGTGTCTTTATTTATTTTGAACATAGCACTGTACACATCCACTAAGCCAGTGGTTCCTAAAATTTTTGCTGGGCCCCCCTTTGTTTTACATGAAAATGTGCCTTTTTTCACGTCACGCTGTGCAACACGTTATTGTTTACGTGAGAGGAATTGCAGAATGGCAGATAGTCAGATTAACAGTATTTTGTCTCTATCTTCAGGTTTTACACGCTTACATATAAACACACAGTTTCTGTCCCTCCATTTAGAAAGGCAGGGGTGTCACGGTGTAATTATTTTACATGTAGTTGTTTATTTCCTGTGTAATAATGTTCAACATTGCTATCAATACATTTTTCAAAAAAATGTCTCTCTGTGCAAAATGGGTTTAAAAACATAAACAGCTGTGGGATACGGTTTGTCCGTGATTTGAACCGGGGGAACAAATCGTGGCAGGATGAGCCTGATATTATTTGTATCCCACTGTAACGTTACTGTATAAAGAGCAAACATCTCCAAAATGTCAGGAGTAGTTAGTCATTACAACAAGTGTTTGTGAACTAAAAATCAAGAATGTGGGATACGGTTTGTCCGTGATTTGAAGAGCCCAGCGCTGCTCCAGACGAAGGAAAGACCAATTCTGCAGGGTAGACCTACCTTGGCACTTGTGCAGGTGAAGCCAAAGGGAAGTGTGGAGATCAGGGAAATTATTTTACTGCTATGGTTCATAATCATCATCATTACCATTGCATTAATCATACAGTTTACAGTATTGATATTGTATTCAGATGTTTAAACATATTG